TCAAGCTGAAAGAACTGATGAAAAATTCAAGCCTCAAGTTGCAATAAGGGCAAAATATTGAAAGAAGCAGAAGCATCAGAAGAAGATAGAAGTAATACACAGAGTCACTGTATCAAAAAGAATTGGTCAATGTTAATCTATTTCAGGAGGTGGCATATGCTCAAGAACCAGTGGCATTGATGGAAGAAGCTGAAGCTGCACTGAAGGTACTGGTGAAAAACAAAGCTCCAGGAACTGATGGAATTCCCATTGAGATGTTTCAACAAACGTGCCATGCTGGAGGCACCCATTTGGCTATGATAAGAAATTTGGAAGACAGCCATCTGGCCAATTGACTGGAAGAGATCCATATTTGTACCCATTCCAAAGAAAAGTGATCCCACAGAATATGGAGATTACTGAAAATATCATTAATATCACATGCTAGTAAAATCTTGCTGAAGATAATTCAAAAACAGTTGCAGCAGTATGTTGAAAGGGAATTTGCAGAAATGCAAGCTGGATTCAGAGGAGGACATGGGACAAGGGATATCATTGCTGATGTCAGATGGAACTTGGCTGAAAGCAAAGAATACCAGAAAGATGTTTACCTGTGCTTTACTGACTACACAAAGGCATTTGACTCTGTGGATCATAACAAATTATGGATAACACTGAAAAGAATAGGAATTCCAGACCACTTAATTGTACTTATGAAGAACCTATACATAGACCAGGAGGCTGTTGTTCAAACAGAACAAGGGAATATTTTTTTTTTAAAAAAAAAACTCACTGCCATTGAGTCGATTCCAACTCATAGCAACCCCCTTGGGGTTTCCCAAGCAGTAAATCTTTACACAAGTAGATTGCACAGTCTTCCTTCCACAGAGTGGCTGGTGGGTTTGAACCGCCAACCTTCTGCTTTAGGCACTGCACCACCAGACCTCCTTAAAGGGAGATAGTGCATGATTTAAAATCAGGAAGGGAGTGCATTAGGGTTGTATCCTTTCACCACACTTATTTTTATTGGGAGCTCTGGTAGCATAGTGGCTAAGGCACTTGACTGCTAACCAGAAGGCTGGCAGTTCAAACCCACCAGCCACTCCTCGGAAGGAAGATGGGGCAATCTACTTCTGCAGTGATACTGCCCTGGAAACCCAAGGAGAGGTCGCTATGAGTCAGATCTGACTCGACGGCACACAACAACAACAACAACAACAACAATTCAGTCTATATGCTGAGCAAATAATCTGAGAAGCTAGATTATAAGAAGAAGAATGTGGCATCAGGATTGGAGGAAGACTGATGAAGATTAAAGACTGCAGTCTTCAGTATGGATTACTGAATCTTAATATAAAGAAAACAAAAGTCCTCACAACTGGACCAATAAGCAGCATCACAATAAATGGAGAAATGATTGAAGTTGTCAAATAGTTCATATTCTTGGATCCACAATCAACACTCATAGAAGCAGCAGTCAAGAAATAAGATGATGTATTGCACTGGGCAAATCTGCTGCAAAAGATCTCTTTAAAGCACTGAGGAGCAAAGATGTCTCTTTGAAGACTAACTGGCACTTAACTCAAGCCATGGTATTTTCAATTGCCTTATATACACGTACATATACATGTAAAAGTTGGACAATGAATAAGGAAGACCAAAGAAGAGTTGATGCTTTTGAGTTGTGGTATTGGCAAAAGATACTGAAATTGCCATGGGCTGCCAGAAGAACTAACAAATCTGTCCTGGAAGAAGTGCAGCCAGAATGCTCCTTTGCAGTGAGAATGCTCAGACTTCATCTCACCTACTTTAGTCATGTCAGAAGGGACCATTCCCTAGAGAACGATATCATGCTTGGTAAAGTGGAGGTCAAAAAAAAAAAAAAACGGGAAGACCCTCAACAAGATGGACTGACACAGTGGCTGCAATGGTGGCCTCAGGTGTAGGAAGGATTGTGAGGCTGGCACAGGACCAGGCAGCATTTTGTTCTGTTGTATATAAGGTCGCTATGAGTTGAAGCCACCTTGATGGCACCCAGCGACAACAACAACAACCATGCCAGGAATTCAGCCCCTCACTATACTCCTATTCATTATGTATTATTATCTCAGTTTCACTGATATAGACATTGAGGCTCAAAGATTTTGCCCAAGATCATACATCTGATTTCAGAGCATCCTAGCTTCAGTGCAGACATCAACTTGCTTTATGAACTTGGTTAAAATATTTTATTTCTCCTTTCCTGTTTTCTCTTACATAGAGATCTTAGTATCTCTATAGTCTGTATGGTGATGGTATTATTGTGATTTCCTGGCAATTGGGAGGATAACACTGCACTGGACAACATTTCATTTAATAGCAGCTAACAACAAAAACACTATTGGGATTGCCAAACAAGAAAATAAATATAAAAACATTTATAAAATGTTATGATGCCATACAAATATACATAATATTACAAATTCGGTACTGTACAAAAGAAGATGTCTGATTCCCATCTAAATCAAAGCAGGATTAAGGAGAATGGCTGACCCATATTTGAGACAAAATTAACCATGTCCCATCTTCTCTATTATTCCCCTCCCGTGTGCTTTTTCTTTATTTCTCACCGTAAGTCCCCAACACTCTAATATTCTTTATTTGCTGCTACTTTCTTCCATTCCTATAGCCTTTTACCATATGGCCCCTTTGCTTCTCTCTCTCAATATCCTTCCATTACTCTTACCTTCCAGCCCCAGGCTCTGTCATTGCTATGGCACCAATACATTTGCCTGCAGTCATTTGGGGGATGAAGTGCTTAATCTGTTCTTCTGAGCCATAGTTTACAATATAAGGCATGACGATATCTGAATGAAGAACAAACGCTGGGCCAGAACAATTTGAATATGCCCTTGGGGGGGAATAAAGAAGAAAATTTAAAGCATGAAATAGTTATTTTATTCTGTTTCCAGTGTATTTGATTTGCAATGAAAAAACAACTAAAACAACAAAAATCACAGAATTTATGACATTGTATGGTAATAGCCTGTCTCCTTATGAATCTAGTAACTTCTTAAAAGTTCTCTCTCTTTTTTTCCTTACTAATCTTTTAATTTCTTGCTCAAACATAATAGAAGAATCCTAAAACATATTTAATGAATTAAGAGATAAAAAAAGCTTTATAAAACAAATCACCTACAATTGTATCACCTCTACAACAACTATTTTCATTTTGGAATTACATTTGTCATAAAGATATATTGTAAATGAACTGCAATCATGGTTGTATCATTTTATATTTTACTATTTTAACTTTAAATTATATCACACACAAACACAACCCTTTTTATATAGTTTTTTTTAACATAATCTTAAATAGTTGTAAGACATTCCAAATTCTTCAAATACCATGATTTACTGGTTCATTCTTCTATTGCTAAACATTTAGATTGCTTCCAAATTGGGAGATTATGATCAAACACAATAACAATTTCTATATGTAAGTTCTATTTTTATTGTTTTCTTAAGATAAAGTCCCCAAAGTGAGATCTTAGATCAAAGAGCATAAACATTTTATTTTTTATATGTAGTCTCATTTTTTAATCCCCAAAGCACTTCCCATTCTAATTTATAATGCCACCAAGAGTTTATGTTACTTTCTCTGCAACTTTGTCAGCACTAGGTATTATGATTTTTTTTAAAAAAATTTCACTAATTTGTAGGTACTCAAAATGATATTTCAATGTTAATTTAATTTCCATTTGATTGGTAATAAAGATAGTAGCATAGTGCCTAAGGCACTTGACTGCTAACCAGAAGGCTGGCGGTTCAAACCCGCCAGCCACTCCTCGGAAGGAAGGTTGGGCAATCCTACTTCCGTAGTGATACAGCCTCGGAAACCCAAAGAGGGGTCGCTATGAGTCGGGGCTGACTCGACGGCATATAACAACAACAACAAAGATAAACCTTTTTTTTTAAATAGCGTATATGCATTTCTTTTTTGATGAATTGTTATGCACAAATCTTTTACCCATTTATCATTGAAATCTTGATTTTTTAAATATATTAACCTTTTATTAGATTTGATGAGAATATTTTTCTATTTTATTGTCTTTTTCAGTTACCTTTTTAAAAGGAAAAAATAATTGCTTATGCCACTCAGATAGTCCTTTAATTTTCAACAATATCTATTTTAACAACTTAAAAGTAGATCTCCTTGTCTTTCTATTCAAAATATCTGTAAAAGTACATGAGTGATATAATTTTTCACAGTTTAGACTATTTTCAAATTTCTAAGAACAAAGCATTTTTTTGTCATCTCAGAACAGTAAGCAGTATGCTTACAAAACAAAAGACCCAACTTCAGATGTCTTCATACTTACTGCTCTTCACAGACAACAAATGCTGAATAGAGGTCTCCACCAATACCACCATGATGTTCTGCAATATTGACACCAAGCAATCCTTGTTTTCCAGCTTTCCCCCAAAGCTCCCGACTCACTTCTCCAGCTTTCTCCCATCTGCAGATAGCAAGTATTTGAAAATCAAAGAAATTTTCTTATATTATTTTAAGACCAACTTTAAATTTATAAATAACTTATACAGGAATGCTTCTTTAATTTAAGGCAACTTCTGCTGACATGGGCCATACCTTCCTATGTGTATCTGACTTTGAATTATTTCTTCTCCTCTTCTTTCTCTTTCTTACTTCTTCATATTTACCACTTTCTCTTTTCCCTCTCTTTTGACTATTTATTAGACTTGCAAATTACTCTCATTGATATTCACGGGTATAATTTCACAAAGCTGGTGCTCTTTGGGTGCAACCTTAGTTGTGCCATATAGTCATGGGAATTCACCTAACCTGCCTGAAAAAGGCAACTCTACTCTGTGCATTTCCTTAAAGTGCTTAACTTATGGAACAAGCATATAAAAGCTGACAAGAGCAGAAAATTTTATTATAGTTTAAACAGGAAGAACAAAAGAGGAGAAATACCTTGCAGCATAACTCCGCAAAAAAACTTCTGAAGATTAGGTATTTGGGTAAAAGATACACAAGAATGGACTCAAACACACCAACAATCATGGTGATGGCACATAACAACAACAATATGCAAGGCAACAGCACTGGAGACTGATGACTGGAGAGGAATGATATTCCCCTTGTTACTCTTATGCCCTGCACCCTCTTGGTGAACAGGGGTGTGGCCATTTCTCTCGCCTCCACCACCTTCTTGATTTTCTGGGGTTCCATCCTAGTCTGTGCCCTGGCAGAGCCTGGGTGCTGTGAACCACCCCACACAATTTTTTTTTTTT